GTAACCTAAGGTACAATAATTTTGAATACATCTTGAACAGAGTATAATTAAATTTAATTAGAAAAAAGTTGAACCGTTAAGGTTTTTTATCTTTTAAATTGTTTCCAGGCCACCATTTGGAGATGCAAGCATGGCGATATTTCTATAATTGAGGTTGGAATTTTTCCGGCACCTGAGCGAAAATGCCGGCAATTTATATATGAAGGCATGCAACAAATAAAGCAGCAATATCGTCGGCAGAAATTTAGTGTTGTCGAGGGCTTTTGTTCGCGAAATGAAAATCCCCATTTTTCTATTTGTTCATTTCGCCACTTCGACTTCGATATGGGAAAGACGAGATAAAAAAGTATAAAAAATATCATCTGAAAAGTACGCAGCTAAAACAATAATAATGGAACAATAAAAACGGAGCGGCGCGGCGGCGGTGGCGGCGGCGGCGGCGGCGTCCCTTTGTAAGATATCCAGCAGGGTGTAAACTAAAGTAAAGCCGTAACGGGTCCGGATGTGGGGTAAAACCGGGATAAATCTGGACCATTAACTGCTCCCGCGCCCGACGCGGACGGTGACGTAGAGGTTGCCATGGACACGCGCGCAACTCGCGTGACGTCAGCTTCCGACGGAGATGGGCGTCGGCACTCTGGCCAGGGCTCCGATAATAGCGAACGCCGCCGCCGCCGCCGCCACCGCCACCGCCGCCGCATATTGAACAAGTGCAAGGCTAGAGGGCAGTCGGACGGAAGGACACGCTAGTGGACACGAAGAAACGCCCAGAACTAAATCAGAACGTTACACTGCTCCAGTATATGTGTAGCGGGTTAAGAGAACGTAAGTTGTCCCATCACATTGTATATGACCTAGAGAAACTTTTCCGAACACATACTAACCCACATGACGTATTTTGTTTAATTTTCACTACTTACAAGTGAAAACTATTTTTGTCGGTTAAAATTTCGGGCGCATCCACCATTTTTAGCCAGAGATCGTGACTTCCTCAAGATAATACTAGTAATTTAAAAAAAAAAAACACCGAAATCAATGTAGATCTAGTAAATATCTTTAAAACTTTAAAAACAAAAAGTCTTAGATACATTTTTGTTTTTAAGCTTATTTTTTAAGCTTAAATAAAAACAAAAAAATTTCGGGCGTTCATTTATTAATTTAGATAATAAACTAACTGCAACACGAATATTGTTCGCATAATAAGTGTCTCAAGAGATCACTCATGTTTGGTAAATTGTAAAAAACTTTATGTACCCGTCTATAGGACACAATACACTTAGTTTTATTTTCTGAAAAATTAACAAAGAAATTTTTATAACACGGTCATTTACTTTTACGTCTCCTTGACGTTTCACAATACATTGAACACAAACTTGCAAATTTTCCATAAATTGTCACATCACATTGCACTCGTATATGAGCTGAAGAAGTATAATTACAATGTTTCGTTTTTAACGCACTTATATTTTAATTTTCTGGAAAAAAACGACAGGAATTTTTATAATAGGGTTATTTTGACAAATGTTTACTTTAGTATCTTTCTAGTGTTTCACAACACATAGAATACAAATTTGTAAATTTTCCGTTGTTATCGATTTATTTGCCTGCTGAAAATTTTATTAGTCGACAATATCTAAAACTACAGAACTGATTACGTTGAAATTGCAATTAAGTAGTGTTTAGTTTATTAGTGAATACGGTAAGATGGTAATTAAATTTGTCTATTCAACGGCAGCTTAATTATTTATTTTATAAATTATTGTTTATCTTTATAATTAATTTACCCTAGAAACTATATGAAGATGTTTTCTGAACTTCCCGAGAGTAAGCTAAGTAAATATAGTAATAGGGTTCATCAGACGAATTACTACTTTCATGTTTCTCGACCCCTAGAATATGAAAAAGTAGGCTGAGAATACTAAACTACAGGCCAATTTATTGTCAAATTTTATACGTATATTAGGCACCAACCAACAATGTGAAGACGTCACCCCAAAATTTGTTTCGCTAAACTCACTTAAATTTTATAAGATAACATTCCTACACTTGTGCTTTATAAATCCGCCTTGATTTTTTACCCCAAGCATCTAGATTTTCGCGAAAAAATCCAAATTGTATAGTAACCTATGCGTACATGTATTTTTTAATTGACTTTTATTATCTACATTTTTTTAACTATAGAGGTTAACACAAAAAAATGAAATTTTACGATTTTCAATGGCTACAGATTTGTTGGATGTACTTCAGGACCAAAGGAAGTTCTATCTCAATAACCTTACACCATTTTTTTTATCTGTGAGTGTTTGAAAATATTAATTACAATGTATTTTTCATACACAATACATTTCACATTAAATATATATTTATCTCTAACAAAACACTACAAAAAATATATATACATCAGACGAATTATTTTGTCAGTTTTCTCAAAAGACTTCGGCTACTTTCCTAATAATTGTAGGGCAGCAGCAACATGATAACTTTGAAATGTTACCGATTTTTAATCTGCTTTAAAAATGAGAGAAATTAACAAACTTTCCTGGGAAGTATTGTAATAGAGTCCATCTAGCAAACGACTAATTTCATGTTTTCTCGAAGTTTCATGATCCCTAAAGCATGAAAAAATGGGTCTCCCATTGCCGTCTGTCTGTCGTCTGTGTCGATATTTATTAGACATAAAATCCCCGAAACTACTAAAGTAGACTAGATGGTAAAACGCTAACCAAAATTTGTCCGAACATTCCCACCAATAACGTGATAACGTCACCCAAATTTTGCATAATAAATGTTATTTCAATTGTAAAAAATAACACCTTTTATATTTGTGGTTTATGAATTCGCCTTGATTTTTATCTTAGATATCAACATTTTTTTAATTTTACATTAACAATATATACGAACGCCGTGCTTTATAAACGACCATGGCTCTTCCTGCTTTATACATTTTGAACGGCGTTATTTGTAAACAACATACACTGTCCTTGGTACATTCTCAAGACCTTAATTTATAAACGACGGATGCCGTACTTCGTAAATTCTGAACACCATACAGTTGCGCCCCCCCCCCAAAAGTGCACCATTTTTCGTTGTCCTGGAATTTTTTGAATTTTTAACTTATTGTAAGTCTGTCTATTACCAGTGGCGCAGCATTTTTGAATAAACAAAATGTCAAATTTGACAAATTTTGTTATTCGAGTGCCCATGATTTGAAGATAATTTGCAATAGAGAAAATTATCGTGCACTTTTGGGGAGGTGTTACTGTACATGATAAATTCTGAACGTCGTCCTTGATAAACGACTGACGCTGTATTTTGTACACTCTGAAACCAAGAGAAGTTAAAGCTTTAAACGCCGTACTTTATAAGCAACTAACATCGTAATTATAATTTTTATTATAGAATATAGTACTGTTGTTATATTAGTATTCTATGACACTTATATTTAGATTTTTTTGTAAAACTGTATTTAAACCTGTTTCCTGTTTAAACCAAAAACCACCCGCTAATTCACTTATGTACTCATCTCCCACACACTAGGTATTTCTAACGCATCTGTACGCTTTACACAGTGGTGTAAAAACGGGGACAATCAGAATATTAAATTTTTGCAATTTTTCGGTTTCTTAATGTTTTTTCAAATAGGGCACCCGGTATTTCATAACAATTTCCAAGCGATTAGGTGATTAGGTCTAAAATATTACTACTATAAAATATAGAGCATCCGCTACTTGAATACCATGAAAAAAATGAAATTCGCAAATTTAATTACCCTATTTAAGGAAGCTTAAATACTCAAAGTTTTTATGCTTTCGTCGAAGCCAGGTAGCTAAATCCTATATGTATGTCCATCTTTAAATATGGCGGAGTTGTAAGATGTAACGTTAGAATGCTACTATGGTGCTAAACTTTCAAAGAAAACACTCTGTATATTTGAAGTCTAGCCCTAAATGGGTTCTGTTAAACTGCGCCATTTCAATAATCAACACGAAATGCGTAATTTTGTGCCATCAGACCTGTCGGACACACAGGGCTAATATTTCAGCATAAGGACAATTTTATACTGTAGAATAATAAAATTAAAAATATACACACTATGTGACTATCAAAATGCAGTTTTTTTGAAAAATGAAACCAAAAAGGTAGGAAAATAAACTTATTCCAGTTCAAAAAAAGATGAACAAAATTTTACAATCTCGAAGTATTTTGCCAAATGAATGATTTTTAGTCGCAGAAACTATTGAATTTCAAATTGTTTACCTTATTTTTGAAATTTCAAATTATTTCTCCTATAATTAAAAAAATGTGTGGATCAAAATAATAAAAAAGTAAACAAACATAAGCAGCAAGCACTATTTTCACTGAATGACTTTCTGGATACAGTTCCAAGAATATTTAAATATATTATTGTTTGAGCCCGTCTGACTACCCATCGACCTAAACACACAATACTCGTAGCAGCGCTGTATCCTCAAAGTTAAAACCCTTCTTAGTTAAATAACTTTGCAAACATGGCTTGCTGACACATTTACCGCTCTATCATTATTTAAATTATACATAATTATATATAAAACTTTTAGATGGCAATGATCATTTAATATGAAAGAAGAATGAAAAGTATAGACATCAATCACTTTAATAAGATGACAAAGATTTTTACTTAGCTGTTGTGCTTAATATAGAAAGTACAATTTTGCGCAAAACTCATGTGTAATGTATTTGGTAAAAGTAAATAATAACTGCTTCTAACTTCAAAAAATTTCTGTATCGCTAAAATACATTGGAGAAGTGTGAATTCAAAATTATTAATTAACATTCACATTTCAATACAAATCACTTTCTGCATTATATTCTCTCCACGGACAGAATTGATGTATGTATTTCTATTTGTTGTTATATTTAAAACCCAAACATTATGCACAGTCTATGTTTTTATACGTTTGTGACAATTTCCCAAAACGACAAAACGCATGCGTATTATTTGCTTGGCGGGCTTTGACTCGAACAAAAACAAACTTCCTAACCTCTAACGTCAAATTTTTTGAGCATAAATTTTACATAATGTCTCGCTGATTTAATTTAAATTAAAGAGTAGTGACTTTGCAGTATGAGTCATAGAGTGAAACCTCATACCAATGTTGAGATCGCAAGTTGTGAAAAATACCTTAGTAAGATGTTGAAACATGACAGTGCCCTGGCGTCTAAAAAAAATCCAGCTTCTCGCCCATATCAAGACAAAATCTCGCAGATAATGAGACATCCAATAAATATGCAACCACAACGTATCAAACCTAAGCCAAGTGCCAAAACACAAAGTCCCATACAAAAAGTTGCTGTTAGTTTAATGAGTACCATGCCGAGAGAAATTGGAGATGGCAGTCGTATCAAGGAGATGAAAAGTACCAAACGTAAACCCAGGTCAAGATCTAGAAGCCGCTCAAGTAGTAAAGTGAGAGAAGCGTGGGGACACATTTTACTGAGTAAAAAGAGCGGAGAGAAAATGTCAACATTCAGCAATTTTGACCCACTAAGAACACTTCATTTTTTGTCGAAAGAATTGTCCACTAAATTGCGGACTGTTGTACCTGAGGAGGATGAAATTCTCCAAATCGTGACTGACATTCAACATGCCCTGAAACGAATTCCGCCAGAAGTGACCACGTTGTTGCATGATCCACCACCAGAAATTGAAGAACCGGTGAGTTGCTTTTATCGGTAACAAATTGGCCTTAGAATAAAATTTGTAGGTAGTCGAAGAACTTGTTCCATCCAAAACTACATCCACTAAAATTTGCCAAACCCCACCCACTTTATATCAAGAGGACACAGAAAGGTTTCAAAAAATAATGGAAGAAAATACATACAGGCTCGAAACTAGTTGTAGACAACTCGAAATGGTTTGTTCTAATTTACAAAATGAGAAAGAAATGACTGAGAAGGAATTAGATGAAGCAAAAGAAAATGTTGAGATGTTGTGTAAAAAAGTTAAAGAATTAGAGGAAGAAATAGTAAGTTTATTTTTGTTAGCTGTTATTATTAATGTATAAAATAATCTGGCAAGTAAGGTAATCTAAAAACATTTAAATTTATGCACTTCACGCAAACTGCGCGTGAAAAGGTAAGGCTCCCTCGCAAATTTATGGTTATTATAAATTCTTAATTTGCTAGAAAACTTTTTTGTGTACATAAAATACAAACGATTTTTAACGTACTGCAAGAGCAATAAAAAAACACGATTGAAGGCAGCTATGGGTTTTTTAAAGTTTGTCTTTGATCAGTGCATTTTCACAAATTTTTAAATTGACGGTTATCTTGTAGAGAATAAAAACGGTTTATTTTAAAACACGAACGTGGTTTTTTTGTAGTAATAATTTTTTTAATTATCTTTTTCCGATGTTTTGTATGACTGATGTTAGTTTTTGTTAGAAAGATAAAAAATTTTGATATATTTTTAGAGTAGCATACAAATAATCAAGCAAATTTATTTTTTATCTTCATAGAATTCTGTGATGTGGAAGTTCGAATTTAAACCCAAAGATGGCGCTACAGCAAATTTTAAAATTTTTATTTGCAAGGAAATCTCCACTATTAAATAACAAATACTCGCTAGTTTGCGGAAAAATGTGGGTATTTTAAATGCTTATTTAATTAACACTGCTAAATTTTTACAACAAAAAAAATTGGTCCCAAGTTTTTTCGACAGAATTTCATTTGCTCCTGATGTACCTACAAATCCAACAAATCCCGCTTCTTTGAAAAATTATAAAATTATATTTTACGAAGTTTTTTTGTTATAACTTCTATATAGTAAAAACCAGCAACACAAATAACATCCCCACAGCCACTGCATAGTAGGAACTCAAATTGCAATGGATCGTGTAAATTGCACAAGTACGGACAATCTAAAATATGTTTTAATGTAATAGATAACCAACGGGAAAAAATGGCCTGTCAGCAATAATAATAAGCTTTAACTTAAAGTCTTAGTTTATACATCTGAAAAATGTCAACACAGACGCCAGACAGACAGAAACAGGAGACTACTTTTTTCGTACTCTAGGAATCATGAAACGTCAAAAAAACATGTAAGTGGCCACTCGTCCACTCAATTGCTATATTTCCTTAGCTTACGCTCAGGAAGTAAAAAACACCAAAAAAACACGTTTTAAAACAAAACAAAAAGCAACCCATGTAATAAAAAACGCTTTTTAACATCTCCAGTCATCTGACAAGACGGAAATTCTCTCAAAGACAGATCTTCAAAAATTCGTGCTTACTTTGATCGTGTTTTTATTGCTCTATCAGCATATGTCCATAGTGTACAAATTGAAGGATTGCATATTAAATTGAAAACAATTTACCAAAAAAAATATTGTGGATAAATACCAAAACCTAATTTACGCCACTTTTTTAATATTTGGTCCATAGACGTTTGACAATGTTTACAGCAACTTTAAAGCTCGTGCAAAAGACAATGGTTTTGTAATTATTAAAAAAAGTAAAATTTTGTTGTAGTTTTAAATCTAAAAATACGATTGATTAGCGCAGTTTTGAGATGATACTATCAAATTTTTGGTAGGGATGATTAAACAAATTTTGTTTAGCGTTTTACCGTCTACACGATATGCTTAAAATGAAAACTACAATTTCACACCAATCAAAAAGGAAGTTTCAGAGTTTATTATTTTAAAATTTAAAACCGAACTCGGCCACACCAAATTTTACTTCCCTAGTGTAAGCGATGGAAGTATTGTAATAGAGTCCATCCAAACGGCTACTTTTCATGTTTTTTGGACGTTTCGTTAACCCAAGTGCACGAAAAAATAAGTCGCCCATTTCCGTCTCCCTGTCTGTGATTTTTCTTAGGTAGGTATAATCTTCGAAACTACTCAACGATTGTCAAATTTTGGAAGTACATTGGGAGTATCCTGTAGATGGTAACACGCTAACCAAAATTTGTGTCATAATCCCCCCCAACAATGGGATAAAATGTTATTAAAATTGTCTAAATTAACATATTCCTGTACTTGTGGTTGATGAAATCACCTTGATTTTTTAACCTAGTGTCCAGATTTTCACTTTCATTTTTAGGGATTATTATAAAATAAATAGAATTTTGCAAAATCAAATTTTATTTTTTTTAAGCTGGATGTATGGCATTGCACTTCAGGGGCTGGGAAAGTTGTATCTAGATAAGCTGCAACCAACTTCCTCTCTTGCTAACATATGATAGACGAAGATAGACAAACTAAAGAAGTTAAAGAAAACTACATATGTTTTTTTTTTGTCGTAACTATTATTATTTGAGATAAATATTAATAAAACTCCAGCAAATAAAAGACTAAATTTTATTCCTAAATTTATGTCGGTCGCGACTGTTGAAAGCTGGTAATCTACTGACGCTGATATTTACATTTAATAGAGCCCTAGTCGTGGTGTTGATGAATGACATTACTACCACAATTTATTGCTCACTGTACATTTCAGGGTTGTTAAAACCTTTTCTACGCCCTTACTGTGTTTGAATAAAATTTATTTTATTTTGCCTTATCATTATTTTTTTTTTATCAATAAACGTGTAAGAAAAGTAAAAAAATTCAAGAACGGCGAAAATGTGGCAAATATTTTGCCATATTATACTTGCATGTTGTTTACAGGAAGAAATAACCAGTCAAAAAATAAGAGAATTAGAGGAAGAGAAATACGAATTGCAACAACAGCTAGAGAAAGCTACTGAAGAAGTAACCAACAATCCAACACTAAATCATTTCAAGCAACTAGTGGAAGAGCTCAAAAAACAAAAATTGGCGGCGGATGAAACTTGCAACAGATTAGAATATGATATGACAGTTCTAAAAATGGAAAAAGAAAAATTCGCAACAATGTTAAATGTCAGGGATAAAGAGGTCAAAGAAATTCAAGAAGAAATGTGCAAAATTCAGGAGCAAGTACACAAACAACTGAAAAAATTAAATAGTGAGGTGATCGAGCGCGTCAATTCTGTGAAAGCGCTTTCAGGTCAGTCATTTTATTCTTGTCGTTTCTGTTATTGTGTTGTTTTGTGTAGATCCAACCAATGGAATGCACGAGTCTCTTTTCTTGGAAATTGGGGATACAACTATTTCATCAATTACTGCTAATGAATCTGACAAGGATACCATTAATATTATTAAAGAATTGCCGTGTGGCGACACTGAGCTTATAGGACTAACGAAAGAATCACATGAGAATTTTCTGCAAAAATTGAAGGTGCTTCCGGTTTAATTTATGTTTATGTACGGCGATTAAAATCGTCGCACTTTTGCGCGTTACCGTGATTTATTTTTATAACATCTGTGCAAACTTTGATATGAACTTCATTTATTACGTGTGACGCTAATCTAAAATGTTACACTTTTATAACAAATAACTTTCAGGGTACTAATGTGGGACCAGATTTACAGCGCAATAATAAAGAAATAGACTCAACATACGAAAGTCTAGTGGCCGGATTAAGTCCATCAATGCAAGCTTTCTTAGCGGCACACAAGGCGTGATATGTAAATGTGGTTTTTATATTTGATTGTACATTCCTGGATTTTCTGTATATATAAATTATATTTTCTTCTATTAAAAGTTTTTGTTCATGACCGGTGTTGTTTTCCTGAAAACAAAACGTTTGTTTGTTTTTTTAAGCGAAATAAACTTTAAAATCTGTTGGTAAGATCCTAGTCTATTTCTTTATTCATTATCAAGGAGCTTCAAACCGCAGTACGAAGTTTTTGTTGGGACTAGTGAAGCAGACTTTCGAATTAAACTTTCGCAGTTGTTAAAGATAAATTTAACAATAAGACAGGCTATTACCTTAAGACTACAGGTATACAAAGAGTAAGTTGTTTAGTCTACTTAAATACAAAACCAAAGGAGGTTTTTACTTCTTAATCACGCAGTGGAACATGTTTAGCCAGGTTCTATGGAAACGGTTGGCCTCTACCGGAAAATGTAAATCCCAAGCGAATAAAAAGTTTGCTTTTTGTTTTCGTTAATCTCAACGTACAACCAGCTCGCATGATTCCATTGCATGAGTTAATAAATTTATTACGAAAATTAGCACACAACCGCCTATTTGTCGTAGAAGTAAACTTTAAAATAACCTGATAAAGTTTTCTAATTTCCTGCAAAAACGTTAAATTTATAGTATATGATAACTTATAAGTCGATATAGGTGTACTATATAGTCACAGTCACGGGATTACTACCACCTAGCTGTTCAACTTGTTTGCATATTAGTTAAACTATTTAAGTATGAATAGTTAACTTCACAGTCATTTCACTGATTATGGGATGGTGTTGTGTTAGTAACCCCGCTTTATACAATTGTTCCAATCCTAACTAAATTATTTGTATGCTAACGCTATTTAAAAGTCTGTCAACCCTAGTAACTATGTGAAGAAATAACGGACGGCAAATCATGTTTACGAGAACGAATGTTTCAACGTGCACAAACATAATCAACCAGGGAAAGCATTAAATGTTGTTTGGTCTTTGTTAAAATTTTCGTAGTCAGCGACTAAAATCCTAAAGCTGAATTAATTTATTTTAATTTAATGTTTGTATTAGTTCCCAATTTGCGACGTTATGTACAAGACTCCAAGTTACATTATATTTTATTATCCAAATTGACACTAATAATTTTCGTTCACGAATAATTCATAGAAGCGTGCGAACATAAAATTATCATTGTTCTGAGAGAATGTGAATGTCCTGCATAATTAACCAAATTTAATGGAAAAGGCAAGTGACACATTAAGTCCATTTTCTGCTAAATAACACCTCAGTGACTGTTACTGTCAGTGGCAATAGAGTGTGATTTTTATTAAACTACAGAATTTGTGGAAAAAAACTGAAACACATTTAGAGATAAAGCGTTGGTTAAGAATTTTTGTAAACACCCCGTGACTATTAATGACTATGTTTTTACTTACCGAGCGTAAGCAAAGGAAGTATTGTAATCGAATCCGTCGGCCGACTCTCTACTTTTACATTTTCTCGACCTTTCATGACCCCTAGAGGACGAAGAAACAAGTCTCCCGTTTCCGTCTGTCTGCCGTCCCGGATTTTTATTAGACAAAATCTCCGAAAGTACTGAGCCGATTGTTGTCAAATTTTGTATTTATATTAGGAATATCATGTAGATGGTAAAACGCTAACCAAAATTTGTTTAATTATCCCCATCACTAATGTGATGACGTCACTTCAAAATTGTACATAGTAAATGGGTTTTAAAATGCATAAAATAACATAGTCCTACGCATGTAGTTTATGACTCCGAATAGAGTTTTTACCAGAAACGTCCAGATTTTTGGGGAAAAAAATCAAAATTTTGAAACAACATTTTGCAATTTAATTTGGAATCTGCAAAACCGAATGCTTTGAAATCGTGCAGATGGTTTACAGTTATGGTAAGCATAATGAATTTGTAATCAAAATATATTTACTTATCCCCTCCAAAAAATTGATGACGTCAGTTGAAAAGTTAGCCGAATAAATCCTATCTAAAATGTACAAAATATGATGAGTCTGTACTTGTGATTTATCATTCCATTCAAATTTTTTCGATTTGCATGTACAGGGTGACTCAAAAAAATTAATCTTGGAGATGTTTTAAAGTTATCATAAGCATGGTAAATTTTTGATCAAAATGTATTTGCTCATTCCCCCTAAAAATAGATGACGTCACCTCAAAATTTTGCTGAATAAATCCTATCTTAAATGTGCAAAATATGATGAGTCTATACTTGTGATTTATCATTGCGTTAATATTTTTTTGACTTGCTTATACAGGGTGTCTTAAAAATTAATGACTAAGTCGATTTATTCAATTTTTCAAAGAAGCGGGATTTGTGGCACTGTATTTCGGAGGCGAGGGAAGTCCTGTCGAAATAACTTTCGACCAATTTTTTTTGGTCAGGTTGTCAGCAATTTAAAATTTTATGATGCCATACGACTTGACTGTCAAAATGAAATCTATTGTGAACTGACATGTTAATATTGCTACCACGGTTGTAGAATAGATAGGTTGATACACTAGCATACATTTGCATATCCCTGGTCAGCGACGCCAATTGCCGATCGCGTCGCCTGGTTTTTGACGTTTTAGGGACACAGAACTCTATAGGCATCTGTCTATAACCGATGTAATTAATAAAAGAAATCGTACTTATCGACTCCGATCAAATGTCATTTACAAATTTTGTATTGTTCATAAAGCAATGTAAACGAAAATCCCCAAAATAACTAGAACGATTTCCGCTCGACAAGATAGAGGCGCTAGCTGTCTGTGTCCTTTCCATGGATATAGGGATCGAAAAGAAGCGTCGCCATCCCAAGCCATTAGTGTACAAACCTATCTATTCTACAACCGTGATTGCTACCAATAATTCAGAATTGCCAACACAAAAATTTGCTACCATCATTTATAATAATCCAGTCAGCTGGCACGTAGCAAGTGTAAATTAACTACGATCACTACAAGCTAAAATTTGCTTAGTTTTGCCGCGCACCCTTACAGTATCAAGAATGAATGAATCATAAGTGTATAGAATTTCATTATATTAATAAGTGAAAATAACTAATAAAACTCTTATTAGTACGTATATGCGTCTTGCGATATTGATAGAGGTTAGTTGTTTTGTCAAAATCAAAAATTTGTTGTTAAATTTGCAAAACACCCATGAAGAAAATATGCATGATTATTGATTCTTGTGAAAATAGGTACACTAGAAAATTATGGAATAAATTGCCAATTCCTGCTTCTTGTCAACAAAAGTAGCCAAATTTCCTTTATTTAAAAGTTACACAGTGTTCTTCTGCCGCCACACCAATATAATAACTTGAATATTTGCATCGAGTTGCTTTAATTCAGATTTATCTCTTTTTTGTGGGTGTTTAATTTGTGATATTCAAAGATTCGTAACATTTGATTTGATTTCATTTTGCTAGTACTAGCCAAAGTAAGGTTGATTTTGGCAAATGATATCCTTAAAAAAAAGAGAGGGTGGGTGGGCGCGGCCAATACTTGTCAAGATAAGACTGATTTTGGCAAATGATATACCTCTACCATTCATTTTCTTAGAGGGTGTCATTTGGCAAAATCAGTCTTATCATAGTAAGAACCAACCCCGTCCATTCGCCCTTCATTTTCTTAGAGAGTAGGTCATTTGCCATTATCAGCAGGCACTATCCCCACACACCCACCCTCTCTTTTTTTTGAGGATGTCATTTGCGAAAGTCAGTCTTATCTTAGCAGGTACTAGCCCCGCCCGCCCACCCTCTCTTTTCTTAGGGGATATGTTATTTGTCAATTGGGTCCTATTTTAGCAGGTCCTAATACCGCTCACCCGCCCTCTATTTTCTCATTGTCCAAAATTAGTCTTATCTTAGCAGGTACTAGCCCTCTAAGAAAATAAAAGGCGGGTGGGTGGCTCTAGTACTTGCCAAAATAAGACTGATTTTGGCAAATGACATATCCTCCAAGAAAAGAGAGGGTGGGTGGGCGGGGATAGCACTTGCTAAGATAAAACTGATATTGCCAAATGGCATACTCCAGAAGAAAATAAAGGGTGGGTGGGCGAGGCCAATACTTACCAAGATAAGACTGATTTTGGCAAATGATATACCCTCTACTCTTCTTAGAGGGTATGCCATTTGGCAAAATCTGTCTTATCTTAGTAACTACCAGCCCCGTCCATTCGCCCTTCATTTTCTTAGATAGTAGGTCATTTGCCAATATCAGTCTTATCTTATCAGGCACTAGCCCCACCCACCCACCCGCTCTTCTCTTAGAGGGTATCTTATTTGCCAAAATCAGTCTTATCTTGACAGCTACTAACGTCGCCCACCCACCCTCTCTTTTCTTAGAGGGTATCTCATTTACCAAAATCAGTCTTAGCTTGACAGCTACTAGCCCCGCCCACCCACCCCCTCTTTTCTTAGAGGGTATGTCATTGCCAAAATCAGTTTATCTTATCAAGTACTGATGACTAACTTTTACAAAAAGTGATAAAAAATATCTATGTTAAATGTTTTTTCTCGGCTCCCTTTCGGACTTAGTTAAATATCTATTGATTCAAAAATATTTTTCAGATCGAGAAACGTCAAAGAAGAAGAGGTTTCAGTAAATATTATTTACGATCCTCGGCTTCGTCTCGCATTTCATATTATTACAAGATTTTCGAGGTCTCCTCTGTATTCACAATTTTTTAGATTACTGTGGATATTTTGGTCCACCATTTTCCTCCAAATAAGGTAAGGGACGTATTTAAGGCAATTCTGGAAAAACTGCGTTGCCAAAAATTATGAAAAAAAATCTGTTTCCTATTTTTTATTTTGGCGATTTTGAAAAAATGCTACAAATTTTCGAAAAACTGAAGAATGTCCTCTGTTAAATTTTGGAAGTATGTACTCGAAAAATAATGTATTAGAAATGGAGATTTTCCCAAAGTTACTTAAAACTCCTCAAAAAATTCTATAAGGTAAATTTCGACGAGTTTAAGCCAAAAACTAGACATGTTGATAGCAAAATTTGAATTTTTCGAGATCACATATCAAGTTTTGGCGAAACATTTGTGTTATATTATAACCCAATACA